TAAATTTGTTCAGATATGCGACACATGTAAATATAGTATGTATTACTTTAGTTAGTTCTAATTTCATCTTTAGCCGATTAGCACATATTTTGGCAATTCAATTTTCCGTGGGGTTCACAACATCACACACAAGATTATACAATAGCGTCTAATTATTCGTAATGCATTTATCACTATTTTAATAATTAAATAATTCCTTTAGTCATGCGAATAATATCAAACTCTTCGCCATCCTTCATTCATTGCTGGCATACCTAGGAATGATCGCAAATTCACTAGTAATTTACAATTGAAATTGCGCTCAGGGGTCCGTCGGGGAGGGGCCTGCCAGGAAAAAACGGGTAGGCATACACGTTCTTATATTCGAGAAGAAACGGTCTTATTTACACAGTGTTTATCAGTTACTACCTCGAAAATTAAGAATAAAGTATACCGTATTTTCTGACCAACAATACAAAGTATATATAAATATTTTTAAACTATTGTATAGCATGTTATTTTATAGGTAAACCGCGTTAATAACCTATATAAACATTCAAAGGGACATGACGCTTTTCGACAAGCAATTTATGAAAACTATAACGCACCCATGGGCCGGGAAATGAGAAGAATTCGTCAGAAACATCCAACTAATTACGCAACGCTTTTACAAAAAAAGGTTCATTTTTAAGACAGACAGCTCAATTTCGTGCCAAAAAGGGGGCGGAACTAGTTTAGAATTTACGTGGCAGTGTCCCCCACAAACAGCTTATAATGATCACATACTCATTACATAATATTATTATATTACTATTATATAATAATAATTATAAGCTTTTTGGTAAGCCCCACCGGTTCAGCCATATGCAACAGACCAAACCTACGCTCGTTTACAATACGCGACTAGAGTATAAGATACCAGACTCTCTCTCTCTCTCTTTCTCTATTCCTAGTTTCTCTCCGACGCGGGATTAATGCGTCTTACTGGCGTCGATGACAATTAATTAATTAATTAGCCACACACGAGAAATCACTGCGAGTTAACTAAACACATAAGCACACCCAGCCGGTACGAAGCAATCGGCTACTAAGGGTGAACGACCACGCTCGTGTGTTCGTTCGTTCACACGCGCGTGTACATTTTCTAAGGGTAAACGAACAACGCTTACAAGTGTTAAATTTTCTCTTCTCGACTCTTGCTCGGTTCACTGATTCATCTGAGCTTCTTCAGGACATGGCGTGTGAGCATAGTGTGGAGGATGTTTCAACACACCGCTGCTTCACCCCGCTGCAGCAGCCCGCTGTAGACGCATGCCACGCGAACACACACACGCGAACACGATAGCACATCCGATGAGTCACGCACGCACGCACGCACGCACGCACGCACGCACGCACGCACGCGCGCACATACACACGCACGCACGCACGCGCGAACACGATAGCACATCCGATGAGCCACGCACGCACGTACGCATGCACGCACGTACGCATGCACGCACGCACGCACGCACGCACGCACGTACGCCCACACTAGGCTTCACAGGAAGCAGGCGATGGGGGCAAGCAACGACAACAGCACTTCGGTTTACTCTCAAACGCCGAGATAAATAGAATTCTAAATATAGCCGCAGCCCCCCCCCCATCCAGACTCTCCCCCGTCAGTTTACCTTACCGCCTACAGGCAAACTACTCCTAGCTAAACACTAACTCTAATGATGATAACGCTCTTTGTAAAACGAAAATCGTGATTAGTTAGTTACTCAACGAAATGACTAGCGAACGAAACTATAGCTCTCGCAATAACAACCGGAGCCTAGCAGATGATACGACAGAAAAAATCGTAAATGCAGTTCAACCCCCCCCCTCCTCCCATACACACACCGATTGTAATCTAGTAACTAAATTACACTTCTTAATTGCACAACAAAGAAATTGCTTCTTCGACTTTTTAGACACTGTTTGCACACAAGCACTCGGGAATTCGTCCGTAATAGAGAATCTCTTTATAATCTTAATATAATTACATAAACAAATCCAGTTCCTTGTAACGCTGAGATAATTGAGCTGACTGCATGCGTATCCAGTGACTGTTTGAGCTTGTAGTATGTGCAAGGAATACTTATACTAATTATAGTATGTACTAGTAGCACGCGCTAGTAGTATGTGTACTGGCACGAACATGTATACTTACTTATACATATGTTCACGATACCATGTACCTATGTGCATTAGTATGTCGCTATGTGTAGCATCATGAGCATATCTATAAATGTCCTGAACATTATTCTATAGACATGTTCGTAGTAGAGCGTACTAAACGTAAGTACTAGGAGTATGCTTGCTGTATATGCCTCAAACTGCCACACATCAATTGCTTTGACAGTGAGAATGCTCCGTTTCTGTGGCTACGTAGCAAATATTCTGATTACACCACCGTTATGAACACCCACCACACCCCACATTCCACACACGCCGATACCAGGGGTTAATAATGACAAAATTGAATAATTTGTCATTATTAACCCCTTGCCGATACCAAACATTTGGCATTAGAATCAACGAACCAATTCATTGCAACCGTAAACTTTCAAACTTCAAATTCACTGTCATTTCAAACTTTTTACACAGTAAAAGCACAAGCCCTAGCCGACATTAGTACTAGCTAACACGACATTGTAGAATAAGATACTTTCACAAAAAATATATATAGCGCAGTGACTGCTCACGCGTTCTCCTCCGATGCATCTATGGATAAATATCGCTACTGAATTTCGATACCATCTAAGACAAATACGATATGAAACAAAATGTGCGCGTCATGCAAATCTCACTTTTCTCTCTTTCTCTCTCTCTCTCTCTGTCTATCTGTCTATCTGTCTATCTGTCTATCTGTCTATCTGTCTATCTGTCTATCTGTCTATCTGTCTATCTGTCTATCTGTCTATCTGTCTATCTGTCTATCTGTCTATCTGTCTCTCTGTCTCTCTGTCTCTCTGTCTCTCTGTCTCTCTTCTCGCTCTCGTCGTTCTTCTCTCTCTCTCTCTCATCTCTCTCTCTTCTCTCTCTCTCTCTCTGCTCTCTGCTCTTCTCTCTCTTTCTCTCTCGTATCTCTCCTCCTTAGTCTTTCTATCTCTCTGTCTACTCTCTCTTCCTCCTCTCTCATCTTTCTCTCTCGTCATCATCTTCTCATCTCTCCTCTCTTCATTATTGAGTCTCATCTTCCTCTCTCTCTTATCTGCCTCTCTCTTCTCTTCTCTCTCTTCTCTCTCTTCTCTCTCTCTCTCCTCCTCTCTCTCTCTCTCTCGCTCTTTCTTTCTTTCTCTTTCTCTGCTTCTCTCTTCTCTTCTCTCTCTCTCTCTTTCGCCTCTCTATCTCTTATCTCTCTCTCTCTCTCTTCTCATTCTCTTCTATCTCATCTCTCTCTCTCTATCTGCCTCTTCTCTCTTCTCTTCTCTTCTCGTCTCTTCTCTCCTCGTCTCTCTCTTATCATCTCTCTCTCTCTTCTGCTCTCTCTTCATCTCTCTCTTTCTCTCTCGCGGCTCGTGCTCTCTCGTCTTCTCTCTTCTCTCTCTCTCTCTCTTCTCTCTCTCTCTTCTCTCTCTCTCTCTCTCATCTATCTTCTCTCTCTCTCATCTCTCTCTCTCTCTCATCTCTCTCTTCTCTTTCTCATCTCTCTCTCTCTCTTCTCGCATCTCTCTCTACTCTTCTCTCTTCTCTCTGCTATCTCTTCTCTCTTCTTCCTCTCTCTATCTCTCTCTCTCTCTTCTCTCTTCTCTTCTCTCTCTCGCTTCCTCTCTCTCTTCTCTCTCTCTCGCGCTCTCTCTCTCTCTCTCTGCTCTCTCTTCTCTCTCTATCGCTCTTCTCTCTCTCTCTCTTGCTCTCTTCTCGCTCTCTCTCATTCTCTCTCTCTCTCTTCTTCTATCTCCGCTTCTCTCTCTCCTATCTCTCTCTCCTCTCTGCTCTTCTCTCTCTCTCTCTTCTCTTCTCTTCTCTCTATCTCTATCTTCTCTATCTTCTTCTCTTCGTCTCTCTCTCTCTCTCTTTCTCTCTCTCTCTCTCTCTCTCTCTCTTTCTCTCTCTCTCTCTCTGTCTCTCTCTCTCTCTCTTCGCTTCTAGTTTCGTTACTCGTCGCCTATTAGTGCGAGATTTCTGTAAAGCCGGTTCAATGATCTCTGCACAAACAAGATACACCGCAACGCACGCGCTGGTGCACAAACAAACAAGAATCGAGTCCCTTTTACCATCGATACATATTTGTACTAAGTAAGTTGCCAAGGGCGGGATGTGACCACCTCGGGTGAACAACTTGACCCACCTGGATATCGCTACTTAGTAGTCGGCGCGAAAAACGGTAGGGTAGATCATGTGTCACGCATGGTGACATAGCAGGGATTTATGACCAGTGCTTCAGTGGTGAATGGCGCACCCAGGTGTTGTAATGTAATTATATGGGTGAATGAAAATTACCAAACAAGAGAATTTTAGTTGCAGCAATTGATGTCTGTAATAAAGACTCGGGGTGATGACCTGAAGAGTTAAGAAGCACTGTTTTAGACATCTATCTCAACGGTGATTGGCTAGAGCGCCCCCTATCGTTCGCGAGGCAGTTCTGGTCGTTAAGATAGATCGGGAATCGTCATCGTTCCGCTCTCCCCGGTTTTTTCTCTGCGCCTCTCCTGGCTTCCCCATCTGCTTGCCTCGTACTTCTCCTCTCTCCTTCGCGCCTTCGCTTCCTCCTCGGCCACCCGGCCTCCCTGGGTCATCGTCGATCCTTGCGCCGGTAGACGATTTCTCCCGGTGGCGCCCTTATCTCGTCGCATCGTCGCGCGTCGAAAGCTGATGGCGCGGGTGATAGCAGCTCGAGTCGGCGCGGGCCTGGCTCTCCGTGTCGAGCAGCGAGTCGAGCGAAAGCCCCGACGTCGGCGCCGCGGGCGGTTCGGTCCGACCGATCCGCAGCAGATGGCGGCGTATGGGGTAGTTCTCGCCGGATGTGAGCAGCGACGCGCGGAGGTGCGAAGTCAGCGCCGCAGGCCGTTCGCCCGATTCCGCCGCGCGGGAGGACGGGCGACGTAGAGCGCGAGCGAGGCGGGCGACGTCGGCGGCGGGTAGGCGGCGCCCTCTCGCGGAGGCCGCTGCGCGCCAGGGCTGATGAGCCGGCGTTCAGAAGCGAACGTGAGAGCGGCTCGGGAAAGGCTGTCGCAGGTAGAGTTCAGGCGTTGCGACGCGGTGGGCTGACCGCGCTCAGGCGCGTCGCCCGCGCCGAGTTTCTCGACGCCTGGCAGAGCGCTTCCACTAGTCGATTTCACGCCGGAGACACGGTAGGACCTTCGCGCGAGGCCTCGCGCCTCGACTGTCCGCGCATGCACCGTCGTACGACGACAGGGACGGCGACGCGGTCTGGCCGCAGAAAGTGGGCGGCGAGTCGACGCGAAACGTGCGTATGCGCAGCCCCCCCCCCTCCCCCCCCCCCCCGCCGCGGCGGCGCCCAGCCGCCGGCGCGCGCCGCTGCAGGCGCGAGGAGGCGGAGAGGGCAGCGGCCGGTGGCAGGCGCGCCCTGGAAGTACACGTAGCTGTCGCACTCGCGGCACTTCGCCGGCGACTTCAGCTTGCGGAACGCGTGCGTCGCCGCCGCGCGCGACATCGCCGCCTTCCCAGTGCCGCCGCCGTCCGCCGCCGGCTCCTCCGGCGCCACCTGGCGGCGCGGGCTCGGCTGCGGAGAACCGCCGTCGACGACGCTGTCGTCTGCGTCGCTCTCCGAGTCGCTCGGCGGCCAGAGCTTGCTGTCGCGGTCGGCCGACAGATGCTGGAGGTACGCGGGGACGTTGTCCATGAGTCCGTCGCCGGACATGCGCACGCGGTCGTACGCGCGCGCCGTCTCGTTGTACGGCTCGAAGACGAACCGCTCCTCCGCGTCGTCGTCGGCGGCCGCCAGGGGGCGCTCGTCGCCGCTCACGAGCTGCTTGACGAACTCGGCGTACTGCGCGCCGGGCTCGTACGTGCGACTGCTCTCACAGAGCGTCTGCAGCTGCACGGGCGCGGGCGTCGCGAGCGCGTGCCGCAGCTGGAAGTAGGCGACCGTGACGGCCTTCGTCGTCTGGTCGCAGCGGCAGGCGAGCTCGCGCGCGCCCGCGAGCGTGTGCGCGCGCGCCGCCGCCAGCGCGCGGTGGCGCTGGTTCGCCTCGGCGACGCACGCCTTGTACGTCGTTTCAGCCTCGGCGGCTCGGTACAGCGCGTCCTCCTCCGCTCGACGCCGCTTCTCCAGCTTGCTCCCGGCCTCGTCGGCGCGGCCCGCCGCCTCGCGCGCCTTCTCGTACTCCTGCTGCCGCTGCACGTACGCGGCGCGCGCCTTCCGGAGATCGCCGCCGGCCTCCGCCGCTCGCTTCAGCTCCCGCGTCCACGCGTCTCGGAGCGCCTTGCGCGCGCGGTCGTGCTCGGCGGCGCGCGCCGACAGAGGCTCCGCGAACTTGCGCGTCAGCACGAGATCGGCCGTGGCCTGGCACATCCCCGCGAGCTCGACGTCTTGGTCGAGCGCGGCGCAGTAGACGGACTGCAGTGGCAGGAACGCGTCGTCGGTGAGCGCGGGCTTGGCCGCAAGGGCGAGGGCGGCGGCGCGCCGCGCGTGCTCCGCGTCGAGCTGCGCCCGCTTCTCGACGTATCCGACGACGACGCGCGCGTACCGCGACCACGCCTTCGCTCGCTGCAGCGCCGCCTCGACGCCGACGCCGCCGCGACGCGCCAGCGCCGCGTCCATCTCCGCCGCCGTCATCGCCACGCCGCCGCTGCCGCCAGAGGGCGATCGCGTCGCCGCCGCCGCCGCGTTCGTCGTCGTGCCGGCGAGGTTCTCGTCGGACGTGTACTTGCTCGCCGTGTCGATGTCGCCGAGGAGGTACTCCGACAGACGGCTGCTGAACGCGAGCGCGAGCTGGTCGCCGCCACGCACCGCGGCGGCGCCACCGTCTCCCGCCGCCGCCGCGTCGTCGTAGTCGTGTGTCTTCACGGCGGAGATGAGCCGCGCGGCGGCCGTGAGCACGTCCACCGACTGTATCGCGCCGTACTTCTGCATGACGGACTTCAACACGGACAGGACGTCGGCGAGACTCTCGTGCGCGGCCACCCTCGTCGCGTCGCCGCCGCCGCCAGCGCACGCCGGCGCCCCCTGCTGGAAGACGGCGCGCAGCCGCGAGAGCGCGTCGGAGAAGCGGCGCACGTGGTCGCCGAGCTGCTGGATGTCGTCGTGCGTCAGCGTGCCGCCATCCGACCAGTCCGTGCCGATGCTAGTCGCGGACCCGAACGCTCCCGCGCGGGTCATCGTTGTCGCCGTCGTCGTCGCCGCCGACGCTTCCTGCATGGTGGCGCTGGTGAGGGGGTGGCGGTGGCGCCGGGTGTCGGGACGTGCGAGGCTCTACTTCTTGGCAGCGTCTTTCACCTAGATCCAGAGTTTCAAAAATGTTTTTTTTTGGGGTAAGGGCCAAAATGAGGGGTGTTCATTGATTAATTGTGAATAAATTTGAAGTTGAATTATCGATCTGATCGGGACTTTGAAGTAAAGACTGGCGTCTTTTACCACTCGATTTACCATCATTTTACTAAGTAACGTTCCAAGTGCCTGGGAATAGACCCACCCATCCGAGTGAGACAACCTTGCACCCCACCTCGTATATCGCTACTAGATTAGTCGCGCGAAAAAACTGTAGGGTAGACTCTGTGTCACGTCATTGACAAGCAGTGACTTTTAGAACAGTGCTTCATTGGTGAATGGTCCACCCAAGGGTGAATGAAATTACTATGGGGTGAATGAAACTTACCAAAAACACAAGGAAATTTAGTTGCAGGCAATTGAAATTTTGTAATAAAGACTCGAGGGTGAATGACACTGAAAGCGTTTAAGAAGCACTGTTTTAGAACATCCTATCTCAACGGTGATTGGCTAGAGCGCCCCCTATCCGTTACGCGAGGCAGATCTGTCGTTACAGATAGATCGGATCGTCATCTTTCCCGCTCTCCCCCGGTTTTCCTCCTGCGCCCTCTCCTGGCTTCCCATCTCCTACGCCCTCCGTCACCTTCCCTCCTCCTCCTCCCTCTCCCACCTT